CGACGTTCTAGTCCGGGTTGTGTAAAACTGCGCCGTAGCTGTTCGTAAGAAGGCAAAGCAAAAGTCGTCTAAACGTTCTGTTTGAACAAGAAAAAAAGCGTGTGGGTTGTGCCTGAATTGAGAAACCAGTGTATGTGGGTATGTTAACAAGAGTCTGTCGCTGTGAAACTCTGTGTGTGCGTGTGTAAAACAACATTCTGTAGTTCTTGGAAGATGCTAATTAAACTGCCACAAAGCGACAGCTAAATATATAATAGAAATGTAAGAATTAAGCAAGTTACCTTTTGCTGCCTAATATCAGGTTCCGACTTCTAAGTTCCTCTAAATAGATATTTAATTGCCTATGATCTAATTAACTTTAATGTTCCTATTGAAATGCAATTACACAGACAGGGGATTAAAGTTGCTGATTTAAAAACAATCTGTTAACAAGAACAGCGGCTCATTAGAAGCTGCCTCCTATTTTTAACTCTCAGGCAGAGCAATTCTTTAAAAGTTTTTAGCCCAGATGAATGGACTGTATTCTCAGGTAAGTGGATATAAGAGTGCACCTGTACCTGGGATTAAGTCACATTTGAAATAGACTAGCTTCTGACTATATACAGGATTGGTCTATTAAAATTTAAGCTCAGTTCCGTTGCCCAACACAATTTTATTATTTTTTTAATGAAGAATTTTTTTTTATGATGGATTCCTGCTTCTGCCATTACATTTTAATATTAATCAGCTTTTATGTCTAACTGGAAGATGTGCAGCCTGCTGCTAACCAAATTCCAGTTTAAACAGTTGTGTCACATCCAACTGATTTTACTCCCCCAAATGTGGGTTTGCGATTACATACCTGGTTTACTTATTTTCCATTTTTATCTCTTAGTCTTCCAAACATCTCACAGATGTGCTTTTATTTTAAATCACTTCAAGGTTTGTTTGTTTTTTTAAAAAAAAATAAGCAGCATACAAAATGTTTTAAATAAAATAAATGGGACACAACATGTTCCTTAATATTGTACTATCAACAACATCCCTATGAGGTAAATTAAGTCTGAATGACCATCTTGGATACCACCATGCAGAGGTTAATAATGGTGAAAGGATTGTAAGTCTATTTACACATGCTAATTTTACAGGCTGATTCTGAATCTGTCAAACACCTTGAGTCTGAATCTATAACAGCCCAAGCAACATCACAGAATCTTCTTGCTCCCTTAATCAAGTACTTAAACAAAAGCTTTAAATATAAACATGCTAGTAGAAATGATGCAACTGTCTGCTTCGCTGGTACCTTCCTGGTACAGTACAGTATCCATCACTCTCAACCCGTGTGGCTACCTCTAGCTGGTAGATATGGGCGTTGTAATACCACATGGCTGGGAACACACCAGGTCAAGGGAGGTTGAGATAAAGTACAAGAGATGCTTTGGCACTGAAGGTGTTTCAGAGCTAATAGAAAGCATACAATGATGCGATCAGCTCATCACCTCCCCGTTAACTTGATTTTGTTAAACTGGGTATCCAGGGAAGCAGTGTCAAAATGCCATAAATATCTAGTTACTGGGGGATGTGGGAGAACATTAGCTAATAAAACTTGGGTAATTAATAGCCCTTATGCTTCATACTGTGAATATTTTCTCTGTGAAACAAGCACAGCAGTCTCTCTTTAAGTAGTCTACACATTAACTGAGAAATGTTGAGCAGCAGATTAATACGCTGAACACATCATGGTGGGTTTTGGCATGACAACTCCACAAGGTATATTCATACCTCTGGGGACAGCTGTAGTGTTTTGCTTTTTAAAGTGCTATTCACAATATGGAAACATTGCCCTTTGGCTAGTTGGCAAGATCCTTTTGGGATAGGAAGCCTACTAATTTAATAAAATAAACTGTGAAACGAGTGTGTGTGTGTGTGTGTGTGTGTGTGCATGTGCGCACGTGCGCGTACACATGTACATGCTGGAAATATGCCAAGCCATTATCTCAGTCACTGCCTTCTTATTTTATATATGATCAATTGTTTTTGGGTTTGGGCCAAAGCAAGGATAGTAGTAATGAATTGTCAGGGAGCTAATGCAAAATAACATTAAAGATTTCTTCATTAGCAGATTTTTGTTTCCCCCAATGAGATGGATATGTTAAAATAAGAAAAGGGATTTCCTTTAATACAGTGATTGGTGAAATTCTCTGCTTTATCTTCCGATGGTCTGCCATAGCTCGGTCATTTCTTAGGTTGCCAGACTAACATTTCCATGTTTTCTTTGTTCCTGAGTCTTTATACCATCTTGGTGGTGGTTGTCCACCCAGAAAAACAGATCCAAAAGATATAGTGAGCTGATACATTTTAGGTCTGATGACTGAAATGTCCCCAAAAACCTTTTGATTTTCCAGAACTGTTTCTAAGGGCCCTTTCCAACTGTTTAAGGCAGGGTTTCTCAACCTTCTCAACCTTCAAGATGTGTGGACTTCAACTCCCAGAATTCCCCAGCCAGCATGCTCCGTGGGGAATTCTGGGAGTTGAAGTCCACACATCTTAAAGTTGCCAAGGTTGAGAAACACTGGTTTAAGGGTTGCTTGTCCTATCAGTACTTGAAGAAAAAACTAAACCAGCATAGTTTTTGCTGCCCAATGCCAACTTCCTCTGTTCTAGCTTGCAATCCAAGGAAGAAGTACAGTCACAACTATCCACCTCTTCCCTTTCCTGCAATGAAACACCTACTTCACTGCTATAAAATTGCCAGTGCCAGCTCAGGAGGTGGTGGTACCATGTGTGGATTTGGAAGCTAAGTGGGTTCAGACCTGGGTAGTACTTGGATGGGAGACTTCTGGATTATTCCATGGAAGTAGGGTAGACTGGGAAGTCACAATAGCAAACAGCATCCCAGGAGGCAGTGGGAAACCACTTTTGTATTTCTGCCAGGAAAGCTACATGGGCATGCCCATGAAGTCACCAACATGAACTTCACTTGAAGGAGGCATTAGCATTTTTGTTTTTTAACTCACTGAAATTAAGGCTGGAAGTATGAGTTTACTGCTGTAATGGAAGGGAAGAAATAAGGGAATCATCGTAATTATCACCACCACCACCAGCCACCATGAATTGGCTCATGATAGAATGATAGAGTTGGAATGGATCTTAAGAGTCACCTAATCCAATTGTCCTACTGCAGGATTCTCCTAGAGCATCTCTGACAGATGATGGAACACCCTAAAGACCTCTGGCAATTTCATATGGTAGCTTGTATAGTCAGGAAGTTCTTCTTGATATCTAACCTGAACATCCTTTCTTGTGATTTTAACCTATTGGTTCTGGTCCTGCCCAGTAAGGCAATAGAGAATAAGCTAGCTTCCTCTCCTATGTGACTATCCTTCAGCTATCATTCCTCTCCTCGGTAGGCTAAACATATCCATCCCTCATAGGTCTTGATTTCCAGACCCTTCACCATCTTGGCAGCCATCCTCTGAACTTGCTGCAGTTTGTCACTGTCCCTTATGAACTCTGGTGACCAGAGACGGACACAGCATTCCAAGTAGAGTCCGATCAAGGCAGAGTAGAGTAGAACGATTACTTCCTGTGATCTGGACTCTGTGTCCTTAGTAATGTACCCCAAAATAGTATTTTTTGTTTTAGCAACTTTTTAGCATGTTTAACTTGTGGTCTACAAGGACACCCAGATTCTTTTCATATTTATTATCAAGCCAGGTCTCCCCCGATCCTATACTTGTGCCTTTCAATTTTCTGCCCCAGTTGTAGAATTTTCCATTGCTCTCTGCTAAAGTCCACCTCATCATCCTCATCATCCAGCCAGTAACTAATGTTCTCTGGGCAGCTTGCTTAGTTTTTTAAAGCACTAAAGACAAATCTGGTAAGTAGCATGGAAAGAATGCTATAAAACATACAAAGCTATACTTCCAGTATAAAGCCTATAAGATGTAACTATCCATTGATGGTTAAGTGGTTATGATGAAAAGCAAAAGAGGTGAGTTCTCATGCTCTTATCCTAATCCTCGTGTCCTAATCGTGGTTAGACTGAAGCTAAAGCTCCCTTTCCTTTTTTAGCTGGAGCAATCTTCCCATCATGCAGTTGTTGAATGAAGCAATGGTG